ATGTCAGTCGATTTTTTCGCGAATTATCACTCGTCCGTCAATCTACGTGACGAAATTTGACTGTTTCGAGCGATCCAATTAACGACAAAGGATCGTTTATTAATAACCACCCACGCAACGATTCCTACGAGAAATGCGTGTTTCCTCGTAGAGCACGTATTTCCGTGAAATTTTGCGTCGATCGAATGCGAATCGTTTTCATAACCAGCTTACATAATTCGTCCTACGGCGGACAATGAGATTGCGTAACGCCGTTTCGTCGTTGCCAGTTGTAAAACGTTAATAAGGGAAAACTGTACCGCGTTTCGCGTTTCGATCCCGCTCCCTGAAACCCTGTCGAACAAACAAACGCGACCGACAACGTGATTTGCCTTACGCGACCGCCAAAAGATTCCAAAGTCCCTCGACCTCGGATACCGCGGCGCTTATAATCCGCTTCCATTTTCCTAATGAAACTCCCCTGTTTCGCGACCCTCCTCTCTCCTCGACGAAACGCGCTCGATCGTACTCGGACGAATTTTCCAGCGTAACATTTACCTGTTCGATTATTTTACAGGGATGCCTTTGCGTTTGATTCGTTCAAAGTTTCAGGATCCTTCTCACAAGGGCACTGCTTCCGCGCGAATAAAACACAGGCTTTCTAATTAATATTTAAAATTTTCTAATTAAAAACAAAGTTTCAAGATATATTTCGCGTTTTCGTTTGCAAAAAAAAGAGCGACTCGCTAGGTGGAAGACTGATTGGTCGAGGAAAATGTTCGAAACGGTACACTGGTTTCTCGATCGCTTTCAGAGGCAACAGACGTCGGCAATTAAGCGTTCGTCGCTAAGGAAAGCGAAGCCCACGAGAGGGGTGGGAATAGGGGGCAGGAAAAGTCCGGGCAAACGGTTACAAGTATTCCATTGAGGAACGTCGATGCATCCCCTGCTCGTAGGTATACTAATTATTGGGTCGATGTTGGGTTGCACAGTGGAGGGTGAAGAAGCACAAGAGGATAGACGACCGGGCTGGAATCGGTTCGGTGGGGCGAAGCTGAAATTTTAAACGGCCGATACTTCGCGTGCCCCTTTATAGACGACTTCGCAACCGCGATCATCACTAATGGATGCGATTATCGATTTCACGAGAGGATTCGATGCCTAACTTGCTTTCGACGAGCCTCCTTTTCGAAGGAACGACTCGGTAACGTTAGTGAAAACGTTGCTACTGATTTTCTTACGAGAAAGCGGATCAACGCGACTGACTATTCAGCTGGTAGACGACAAACGTTGCCTAAGCGCAGGGGAAACAAAAAGCACGAGAAACCGGGGCAACCAGAGGATTAGTTACCTATATAAACACACGTGAATCAACTAAATAGAAACGCGAGGTTTTTCTTTTTATCATTGCCAAGCTATAACGGATAGTCTAAAGAACAATTTTAAGTTAATTACCGCCCGGTAACGCTCGAAGCGTGAAATTTCGCGTGATGTCGGTGGCGATCGACAGGTGTTACACTCTTGGATATTCGTAACGCGAAAGGTCCACTTTTAGCGGACGTGCTTCCAAATATTAATAAAGTATCTTACAATTAGAAGAGCATGAAAAGTCGTTGATGAAATTTCGGGAAGGCTGGCCCTCGTTTCATCCAGGGATCGATGGTATTCGCGTATTGAGCTTTTCATCAGGATCCATTATCTTCCGGTTTACGACGATGGGTTCGAGCTGCAGGAAGCAATCAGCTGATTGACAGCCGAAAAACGAGTGGAAAGGAGGCCTAATGGACGCGTTAGCGACCGTGTTCGCGTTTTCAGGAAAAGGCTGCGTGCGCGATGAAATTGGCGTTGGTCCAAAGAAACGTCCGGCTGGCTGACTTTTTTTGTCGATTCGTGTTCGCGTGGCTCTCTTGTTTACGTCGAATGTTGGTTCTCGAATCAGACCGAAACAAGCAGAGGCCGCGCAATCGCAACCTGAATTTCAGAGAAGAGAAGGCAACAACGAACGAAAAGTTGTGAGAAGGAATGGTAATCGAATGGAGTCAGGTTTTCCGACGCAGGAAAAAATGCTCCTTCTTCAGGGTTTGCTTTTTCCTCTCTCCCTCTCTCTTAGCACGATTTCCTTTTTCCGGTCTGTTTTTTTCTTTTGCTCATTTTTTTTTTTTTTTCGTTTGTTCGAGTTGACGTCACGAAGAAAAAGAGAGGAAGGAGAGGAAATAAGGAAAGAGAGGTTTGAGTGTCGACACCTCGACAGAAGGTTGTAGCCGGGCGAGGAGAACTGGAATCGGGGTTGGTACTCGAGGAACGGGGTGCCGTTGGCGGCAATTATTATCGCCGGCTGACAGGTAAGAGGCGACTCGGTGTGCCGCTCGGGGAGGCTAATTGCCGGCAGCGAGACGGTACACTCCTACGAAAAGCAGGCAGCTGGATCCCGGTCGTGCTTTGACGAGTCTAATCGCTCGTGTAACGAACTGGACCGTACGATCGCAAATTACCCGTTTGCTCTTTGAGCTTGTTTGTACCTCGAGGAGACACTCGAACGGCATTTCCAATAGCCGAGCCGCGGAAAGACTCCACTTTTCTGCTCGAAATCGCGGAAATAAAAATCTTCTCCGCTGTTTCGTCGAATAGCTAGTTGGTCCACCGCTGTCCGTATCAACGCGTAAACCGTACTGTACCTCTACCAAACCATTTCTTGCCTTTTCTTCTTTCTCTTCTCTCTCTCTTTTTTTTCTTCTTTTTTCGAAGCTACACTCGTCGACGAACCGTTCTCCACTTCACGGATCCCCGTGGAGCGTCCTTGCGAAAATCTTTCCCCGAAGAAACTGCAGCGTTATTCTATTTCCGGTTTCGAGTCGTTTCTACTCGAGGGTGGTTTTTCATCCCTCTCTCTTTCTCCTCGCTACCAGTCCGCCCATCCACCCACATTTCACTCTCTCTTTCTGTCTCTCGGAGAGGTCTCTCGCGGACGCAGCCTGCTGTGAAATTGAAAAATTTTCGCGCGTTTTGCGGACCTCCTGCAGACGAGTCACCCGGTGTGCACGCAGACTGGCTGGATTACCGGCTAGGCTTTGAGACCCACCAAACAGACCGGAAAATATGCAGGCTGCATAATTCAGCACGCTCGTACGTGCATGTGCGTACACCGGAGATACTTGCACGCACACGCGTGCATTTCTCTGCTCGTACGCGCACCGCAACCATCTACCAGCGAAAAAACTTTCCTCCATATCCAGTTCGATTCCTGTCATTTCGCTAGCAGCTACTCTTTCTTTTCTTTCCCTTTGACCGTCCTGTTCCACATTTCCGCGACGAGTTTTCGATTTTGTTCGCAAACCTAAAAGAGGCGCCTACGAAGCATCGAGGTCAGGATTTATCTACCGCCGCAATAGCGATCGTTCTACCCTCCCTTCTCTTCGAATCGGGAGACATTAAGGTCATCGGCAGCACCCACGATCAGCGATGGGTACTCAATGCTCTCCCTCTCTCTCTCTGGTTAAACTTACAACTTATTTAGGCGCGAAAATAAATTGGATTTTTAACAGTATATGATTTAACAAAATTGCAAATAATCTTGTAACGTATAAGAGAGGGGCGTTGCTCGGCATTTTTCGAGCGTGCTCTTGGTATCGTCCGTGGCACTAAAACGGTTAATAACAACCGTCACGGCCGTTTTCGTTGTCACGCGAGGAAAGTTCGTTGCATCGTCCGCGCGTTCCCTTTTCGTAATCGGGCGCTGCAAACTTTATCGCAACACAGCTGCCAGTTAGGGGAGAAGAGGAAAAATTGTGGCTGAACCGTGGCACATGCTCACCCTTGGCCTTGGCCAAGCTGATGGTTCTTTCCTCGAATCGACCACGTTTTATCCAGCAGCCGTTGCCCGAAACACACCGCTGTGTTTCACCGATTCGGTTTTCGCGCGGCGCCAGATCGATCCGGAGCAACAAGTATCTCGTCGACTCCTTCGGGCTGAAAGCAAGGAAATAGCGATGCCAGGAACGCTTTTCCTACGGAAACTTATTTTTAAACGGAAGAAGAATCTGTTGCTGGAAGCAACGGGAATTCTATGTAACGGGTGGGTGATTAATTTCGCGGCGGTTTCTGGCGATTGAGAAATGAATTTTGCTGTAAGCGACGAGAGGACGGGACGAAACGACGTGGTTGAAAGCGAAATGTCAATGGGCGGTTCGTCTTGAATTGACCTCGTTACGCCGAATTTCGTCGGCGACGCGAGAGTCTAGCAGCAGGCTTGTTGGGAAGGGTCAGGGCCCGCGCCTACTTGCCAGACGATATTTTCAGGTCGGACAGTAAGGCGTACAAATGTTTGGCGCTGGCGGTCGTCGAGACGCGACTACAGGTCACTCACCGAATATGAGCAAACCGCCAGTCGCCTCCTCTTCTACTGCACTCGACCCGACCGCGGCTGACAGCGACCGACCGAGTGCCTCGATTTCGAATTCGTTTCGCGTACGAACGCGTTCGCCAGCGAATACCATGCTTGCAACAACCGTCTCGAAAACGCCTCTTCCATCCAACTTTTCTTACAATTTTCCACGCGTTTCGCGCCGTTTCTTTCTTCTTTCAAACGTTTCAACTCGTCCAATTATCGCAGCAGTTACCGAATGAACGTTTAAAACGATACAAAATTCATGTTCCCCGAAAAAAGGCTTTTCTGGATGTTTACAGGCGTCGAGCGACGACCGGAAGAGAGCGACAGAAATTCGATGGATCGCGCGCAGATGGCTGGATCCCGACACAGGATACGCATACAGGAGAGTAGGAATAAAGAAAAAAGGAAAAAGAATAAGCGGGATCCGACCGCGTGCAAACCACTCATCGCCGACCATACTTAACGATAAAAGTGTACCGCGTCAATGACCTTGCGTATGTACACATGCGTGCGGGCTAAAAGCGCAGGCGGCGAATAAAATGCATTTCCATGGCTTGGAAAGCGTCGAATTTCAACCGGTCCTACCTCGGTCGTACCTGCGCGTTACACTCGTGCAATTACGAATCTCACTTACCTAGACCAGCCGTGGTACACCGTCTTTCCGGATCGAAATCGTTGGCCAAAGTTGTCGAACGACGCCGCATTCTTCGTGCTTGTTCGAGGTTCGAGCAAAAAGGGCTCGCTGGCCTCCGCTCTGGTCGGCCATTAATAAGCCACGAGGCTTCTCCGTTTACAACGGCTCCGGGTCAGGTTAATCGGATTTGCGACCAGGCCAGTGACGAACTTTCCTCGTCGAAAAAACACTTTCGATCGATCGCAGGCTCGCGAAAAGTCGAACGACGATTACCCGACTACGAGCTCGCTATTTCTACTCTCCGTCTTACTATTTTCTTTTTTCACCGTTCTAACACAATAGAATTACCTATTCGTCGATTGAACACGGTATACGGGTATCGATTCATATTCCCGCGCCATCGATTCGCGCGTTACAATCGGCTAAACTAGCGCGTGAACGGCACAGTAAACGTGCGAAGCAACCTATTGTAAGTTAATAAACGCTATTTTCGCGCTTCGCGTCGAGAGTTTTGACGCGCGTTAAATTGCTATGCGCGTGAGTCATACGGCGGGAAACGTGAATATTCGAACGGGTTGAATCGATTCGACGCGAGTTTCGCGGCACTTTGAAAACTAACGGATCGCGAAAGTTTGCGAAAAGCTGGAAAGGAAAAAGGAAAAAGGGATACGTGGACGCGCGATACTTTCGGTGTAGACTGTACGCGAAACGGCGGGACATTTATTTCGCCGCGCGTTGCGGCGAACGCAACGAGTTCCCCCGTGCGGAAGGTTAGGGCCGGATGTCGGTGGAGAAAGTTTTGACCGAGCACGCACGAGCCTCACCCTGGCTGCCGAAAGGCCTAACGGCTGATTTGGGGTAGGTCCTGGTCGAGCCGCCTCGACCAACCTCCTTCCCGTTCTACCGGCTCGCTGCCCGCAAAAAGAGGGAGACACACGCTCCGATCGAAGGGAGCAACGGGTTCCGCCTGAAGAAGTTTTGTCGGCCACGCTAGTCCCTCGAACGCTTCGCTTCCTTTCCTTACCTTTCGTTTCGTTGCGAAACACGCTCCACGCGACGCGCTTCTTGGAAGAAACTTTCTTTTTCCTCCCTTTTTGCTTTTCTTTCTGCTAATACCCGATGAATGGCAGAGGGAAAACAACCCCCAGCTATCAACATCAAATGGTTATTACTTCTTTGAGCGCGAAATGTTTCTTTTTTCTTCTGTTGATTTTACAATCGTAGAAGAAGAAACAAAGTTACGTTAAAAAAGAATATTACGGCAGTGCTTTACAACCCGAAACTGAATCTACTGTGGTAATCAGACAGATCGTTCGGTTTCGTTTAACCGATAAATCGTGCACGGGACAAATAAATTCGACGAGAACGCACGTTCTTCCCCATTTTAGTACGACCCGTTTCCTGCAACCTGCAAAATACCAGGCTTTTGTTTCGACGAGGAGCGCGCGTCTGGTATGAAGAACTAAAAAGGGGCCAAAATCGGGGGAGTTTGTGGGGTTGTTGAAAACCAACCTCGACGAATCAACGCGTTCATCGATTTTTATAGTTTGTGTAATTTACGTGAGTCATTCGCCTCGATCCATACGCGTCGACGCGCCTTTCCCTTCGAACAACGGAGAACAATACGAACGAGAGTATTTTCCTTGAATTTTCTTTCGAACGTCCGAAAGGTAGTTTGTATTTTCAATTTGCGAGTATACGAATTAAAGAATTTCTCTCGAGTTGAATCGATAATATCTGTCCGAATGGCGAGTCGAGGTGGCCTACCAACTTTTCCACCCCATCGTAAATGAGTACAAACCGAAGGAGGGGAATAGTTTCCAAGTTTGTTGCCGCGAAACTTTGCCAGTGTCCGAGAAAGAATGGAAATTCAACTTGCCGCTGCTCTAGAGAGCAGCTCGTGCTTTGACTACGTTGCGTTCTGAATCATGTATCGAATCAAATCGATCGATGACGCGACGATTATACTAGCTAACGACTGTACGCTGCAATCGTGACGAACGCGATCAGGGACAAGCCGTTGTTTCCGTCATCATAGATCTCGTGTGAAACCGATATTGAGCCAGTTGAAAATTTGGGAAATCTGGGAAATTCGGCAGGAAGAGAAAGAGGGAAGAAGACTTGGGCGAATGCTTATCGCTCGGTGACATTCGGTCGCGTGCTTACGCTCGAGCCTCCGACAGGCTGAACGGGTGTGTCCATAGACACAATGGGCACACACGTTTGCACGTGAAATGCAGCGGACAAAGAGAGAGAGAGGGAGGGAGGGTGAAAAGGGGCGAGAGGAGAGACAGGCGCACACGTAGACGGCGGTCGTTACACACGGCCGTAATGCACACGGTATCGATCGGTGTTTTTGCGCCGTATGACAACTCGTTACGGAACGCTGATCGAAGCGCGAGCACAAAGTACACAATTACACTAGACTCGCGGTGAGCGCGCATCGTGCTCTGAAAGGAAGAAAATTGGCGGAGAGTTTCGTCTTTTCGTCCCGTTTAATTCTCTTTCCCCCTTCGCCCTTTCACATTTTCCTAGCCGTTCCCTTTATCTTCCCCGTTCTCTATCCATCCGTCGCGAGTCCTCCTCGTCTTCGATAAAAATCTTCGTCGACGAGAAGAAATATTAGCCCGACGTTTTCCTGCTTGATTTGATTTTAATATCGTCCGCGGCTACGACATCCGTTCGCTGCCGTGGGCAAAGAGCGCAATGAAAATATTTCGTTACGTAGTAGGACGATATTAGCGCGGGACGAAGAAGAAATCTTGATAAGCACGAGGATGTACCGCGACGGTGGTTCGGTTCGTCTTTGCCTCGGGAGAAAATGTCGAGCGTATTGCGTTACGCGCGGTCGAGTGGCGAAGAAACGGGGAAAATGAAGGAACGGTATCGGTCTTGAGAGACGTCGAAGGGGTGGAAAGTTGACAACGAAAGAGAAGCCGAAGAAGCACGTTGTTGCCGAGGAGGAAGGTAGCCGGATGGATGTTTGCGAAACGACGTAAGAATTAGTGAGTCGGTGACGCGTGGCGGTATCGATTCGGTTTCCTTGTAGCGCCGGATGACAGGCTAGGATAAGCCGGTACGCTTAATCGGCGTGGCACAGGGCATAGGGGTAGGTTCGCAGGGCAGGTTATGGTGAATCGGAATGCAGGATTAGTCACGGGCAAGCTCGCCTCTGGGTAACGACAGCTGCTACCACCATGCACCGTCGCCGTCATCAACGGCGACTATCGACGCCATTAACCGACGACGGATACACCGGCATGGCACCGATGGTTAGTGTCATCCACATTCTATACGGAGATTCGCGCGCGAATACCCCGTCGACGCGAAGGCTCGTTGAATACGAGGGCTTCCTCTTTCGCGCGAGCCGAGCCGCGAAGTTGCAGGGTTTCCGACCTGCCGGCTCCTTGGACGATGCGAAATATTCATGTTCGATTCGAACAGGGTGCAACGACGACAGAGGGTAATCTTCCAAAGAGGGTAGAGGCTTTTTCTTTAGGAAAAACAGGGTATATTTTCCGTTTAAAAATAGCCAGCGCGTTCGACAGATGCGCCGCCGGCGCGAACAGAGTTCTTCACATTTTTTCCCGGCGTCCCCTATCGTTTGCCCGACGCTCACGAGCGGCGGCTTAACTCTTCTTCGCTTTCGAGACTGTAATTTAGAGCCGTTTCGCCATCGCGTTACGGAGAAGGAAGAAAAGGAAAGAGGGGGACGCAACGAAATTAGAGCAGACGAGTTATAGTTGCTAAACAGCGAGACAGCCGACGGTGGAGGCTAATCGTCGAGTTGGGGTGCCGTCGACCCTTCGCCGACAGCTAGGTAACGCTATCAAGTCTTGCTCACCGTTCTCCAACCTGCTTTTGAATATTTCAAGCTCTCGCGGAACCCCTTTACCTGAAAATTGATGAAACTCACGATTAGAGAAAAATTACTACAAGCTGTTTGTTTCTTTCTCTTTGAATGGTTAAACGAAAAGAAAAAGGAAGGGAAGAAGAACGAGTGGACGTAGAGGATCGGTGAGAAAAGAAAAGCGAAGCAGTGGCCAGTTGGATGGGAGCCAAGAAGGGGCAACGGGAGAGGGCGCCAGGTGGATGATCCTCCGAAGAGACGGTTCGGAGGATGATGGGGGTCGGGAGGGCCGAAGAAAAGGGCCTCGAAGAAGAGAGGGACTAGACCGGACCGGACCAGACCGGACCGGACCTGGCCCAGCCACTCCGAAGACGAAGAAGACGGAGAATCAAGAAGGAAAGGGGGCAAAAAGGTAGAAGGGCAGGTTGGCCCAAAAAGTCGAGCAAGAGTCGAAGAACTCCCAGACGGACCAAGGACCGATCGCGGTTTTCTTGCCCCTCCCTAAACCGCTCGTTGCCTCTAGCCTTCTCATCCTTTTTCTACTTTCCTTGGCCCTTTCGTTCTTATCCAGTCCCACCGCGATCTAACCTCTCTTTCGCCCTTTCCATTCGTCTCCTCTTCTTGTTCGTCCCTCTCGAACTACGAGAGAGCTTCGTCTTGGTCTGGCCGAATGGCCGCACGCAGGTGGGACGAAGAGGACACCCAGTCCTCCGCTAACCAGCGGGGACAGGAGAGAAAGACGGCACTGACCTAAAGCAACATGGTCGGCGAAGGCAGATCCCAAAGCGAGCAGAGAAAGAATGCATCGCGTCGGCTTGAAAAGAGAGCAGAGCGATGCGCGAGGAGGGATTAATGGCGACGAGAGCCGCCGATTTTTCCCTTCTACGCTCCGATCGAGAAGATCGAGAATTTCGAGGTGAACGCGGTTTCGATGGCGGAACGAACACCCTCTCCGTTCAATCGTGATCTTCTCTTTCTTCTTTTTTCATGAAAATGTTGGCCGATCGTAAGACGAATTGGGTCGGCTCGTGAGATCCTTGGCACGCATCGAAACGTGTCAAGGAAAGAGGACAGTGGTGGACAGAGGAGGAAACGAGGGGGTGAAGAAGTTTCAGTTTCGTTTCAAGGAGAGACCGGTTCCCGCTGGGAACGGAAGAGACGACACGAGGATTCAGTGTTCCGACGTGGCAGATGGCGCCACCTGCGCCCGCTCGGCACGCAAAGGGCCGCAGCAGCGGCGTATCACCGGTGCAAATAGAATTTCAAGAGTTGCACGTTAAACGCTTTATGTCGCTGCCGAGCAACCTTTTACGACCTCGCGGACCGTCTCTGCGGTAATACGGCGAGGACCTTTTGAACGCTGCTGCAAAGTAACGCGCTATCCTCCTCATCCCAGTGCAAAACTTCAGCTCCCGGATAAATAAAGAACGTTTATGGATTTTTTTTTACGCCCTGCAAAGAAGAGAGGAGCGGATTAATAAAACCGCGTCCGTGACGCGATCGCGGTTACCCGATTCGAGGGTCGGGTCCTCGACGGACTCTGACGATGGTGATCGCCTAAGAAAAGGAATGGTATCGAGGCAACGAGCGCGGATTAACCGAGACTTGCCGCACCCGCTACCAGAGGGATCCGCGACACTAACTTTCTCGCAAGTACTCGACCAACTATCCATCCAAACGCGCCTGTCCCCTCCGAGGCACGGACCTGTTGGTTAGCCTTACGGCAGAGTCCGGTAACAGGTCCCTTTCCCCTTCTGTGTTATGCAAAACGACCGCCATAAGGAGGAAAAAGACGATCGAACAGGCAGGACTGGAAAAAAGTTGGAAGCGCATCGAATGTTACGATGACCTACATCGATGGCAACGTTCGAACAGTCGTCCCCGATGGTTGTTAAAAAGTACGTCAGGTGGCTGGTTTTGATCTTATCGCGAAACACGATTAACTTCAGCACCGGGTACAGTTTCGGAGTTGCAAAGTTCGTCAACATTATCCTTCGCCAAAAGCGAAGAATTCGATGTCGGTGTTCGATGTGCGACGAAGATCGCGGTGGTACCGCGACGACGATTACTCGAGGAAGGTTTCGCGAGCAGCTCCAGTTTCGCGAGGAAATAAAAGCAAAGAGAAGACACGGTTGCGCATGCTAGGAAACCCAATATTCCTTGTGCACGGCCTGTCGCGGCTGCCGATCTACGTTCGATCGGGTAAGAAAAGAGAATCGAGCAACGATGACGGCGAATCGAAAGAAGAAGAAGAAGCGGCAAATAGAAAAGAAACGAGAGATCGAGAGAGGCACACTGGTGCACGGGAGAGAATCGGCGCGGCGCGCAACGCGTACACGAACGACGAACTACTTTTTGCCGATCTTCTCTCCTCTGCGTACGTCTCGGCTCGTCCGGCTCTCTCTTCTCTCTTTGTCTCTTCTCTTCGCCGCTCTTCATCCTCGAGTCGTTGCACTTCTCGAGTCGACTGGCGGAGCCTCTGCACCCGATCCTACCTATACCCACCGCCCGTACTCGCCTTTGCTCGACGCTCTTCTATTTCTCTAGATTTCAAAGCGCTCAAACAGGTTTCAAAATCCCGCCCGCGGAAAAATCGCGCGCTTCACCGCCTGCCCCCTCGCCCCTCCCTCTTCGTTACCTGGCTTCTCCTCTCCTTTTCTTCGTCCTATTCGAAGCGAGCTCCACTGGCACGACGTTGCGCTCGTAAATCGTCGATTCGCCGCGTGGTACCGAACCAACATTTCGTCGTCGCATTCTCCGCACCGAGAATCTCCTCCTTCTCTCCTCTTTCGTCCTCTTTCTCACGCGAGCCTCTTCTTTGCAGTGCCGCGCCTCGAAGCCACCTACCACCTTCTGCCCGGCTCCTGCCACGGTCCCGCGTCTTCCGCATTGTTCCGCCGCTTTCGGCGAGACGCGAGACGGTTGGTTCCGTTCTTTCGATCGGGGAAACGCGATGAAAAAGCCGGAAAACGGGGTGAACGTGGAAGAAAAGAAGGGTAGAGCGAAAAAAGAAAACAATACCAATTTAAGCCACATGCAGCGCTCTGGCTTCGTATTTAGGAGGATAATCGGCTTACCGAGGCGGTCTGCAGCCCACTTTCAGCGCACTGTGTCTCCGCGAATGCAGTTATTCGCCACGGTTCGAATCTTTTTCGCGCGGTCACCATCGATCCTCGATTTTATCGCGACGATTCCGAATTATATTTTAATGTTACGCGGCAACATTTTTGTTGAAAACTCAACGGTTTCTTCCCGAGTGTGTTTCGAAACCCTGTCGCACAAAGTTGCAATGTAAAAGCTGTTTGGAGAGAGTTTGAACAGAAGCGAGGATGTAACACGAACGCGACAATTAATTTCCACGATAATGTAGGCACGCGTTGGTCGAGATACGATCGATGCGATTTACTCGCTTCTATTTGCTCACCGTCTATTTGTTAGCGATACTATTACCATTATTATTAAACGATTAAGCGGCTTACTCGATGCATGTAACGACATATACAGGTTACGCGGTCCACTAAATTGTTGCGATCGCGTTAGAATCGATTAGCATCGAAGCTCTGCTCTCGTCAAAACGAGTAAAACGCGTTTTCACACTTTGTTTGAAAAATATCCATTTGCCATCTAACTGAAATACAAATATCTAAAAATAGCAAACTATGCGGGTTTCTACAGATTTTCCTTTCTTTTCCTTTCCCTTCCTTTCCTCACCTACACAGGATCCCTCGAAAGTTTATCATCCGTGGCTAACGCTCGACGAGCGTTACGTGGGCGAGGTATAAAGTTTCAAGAAAAAGATGTCCTCTGTTCTCTCGGAGTATGATTGTATTCGAGAGGGAAGCGATCGGGAAGAGAGGGCTCGAGTATCGAGGACGATTCTCGAATGCAAATACCTGGCGGGCCGATATTTTTATGCGGCTCCTCGTACCGTCGCGGCCAGTTAAGCTTTTCAGCTTCCCGTTGACTTGCAGATCGCGGGCCGAATTTGAAATTTTAAAGCGTCCATCTTGTGCGCCACTTGCAGCGATCCTCGATCGACAAAAATTGTCCCGTTCGTTAGAGAACGTTTCTGCTAATTTTGTTATGACCCTCGAGTATCATCGAATGCGTCAACAGGGATAACGATCCTCCCTCTCGAAACGGAGAAGATGAGGCTATTTAAGGATAGATTTTGCGCGTCAGAGATCGCGCGAAATTATTTTGGCCCGCTAATGAACGGGCAACGAAACGATCGTTCCAATTAGCGCGAGAATATTTGCGCTAAAATTACAGGCGTTCGACGCCAGGGCGAAACCTCGCCCAACCGATGGGTAATCGATACAAAAGTCCACAAGGGTTGGGCCGCCTTAGTAGCCCCGCTCTTTTCTTTCTCTCTCTCCTTCCTTCTCCTCGTCAACGCCGCCTCTCACTATTTTTTTTCTCTCTTCTATTACCGAGAACGCACACAAACGCGCGTTTCGCTTCGCTTCGCCTCGCCTCGCCACGCCACCGCTCAACTGCATCGTTTCTGGAACCAACTTGCCAGCTTCGCGGACTAAAAAAGCCACGAAAAGGGAATCGCTCGATTCTCCTCGTATTTTTTTCCGCTCCACGGCTCATCCTAGCAAATTTAACCCTTTATCGCGTTACGCACCGTTCACCGGTTATCGGTCGCCATCGGATTCTTCGCCTCTCCTCAAAGAGAGCCTCGAGGGCGATTTTAAATGTCGACGCGTCCATTTTTCTTTTCTCTTCATCTTTTTTTTCACGCGAGACGAGCTTTTTTGACGATTAAAAGCTTGGCTTGTCGCGCGACCTTAAGCTGGTTTATTTTATTTGTTTTTCTTCTAAATGAACTGCTTTGCATCGCTGCAGTGTTCTGCTATTTGAATTTGATTTACCGTCAAAGAGACGCAAGATAAAGACGGAAGAACGATTCAAGAGGAGGAGGAAGAATCGGAGCGGCCATAGAGTGACGCGTCACTGCGCTCATTAATAATATTTTTACGCATATTACTACGTGCTTCCGGCCAACAGTCCACTCTCTGCCGGTCTGCAATTGGGCGCGCGAACGACCACGATACGTTCTCGGTGTCGTGCGTGCGTGGACTCGTGCTTTCCGGTCGTGTACCGGCTGCTCTTCCTGCGTGTCGTTCGACTAAAAAGTCTGACCAACATTTTCACTGTCGTAAATGGCTATCTCTCGATCGCATTTTTGACTTTTTCGTATGAACGTTGGAATCGATTCAGCGGATCTAACCAAATTACAAGAGTATGGACGATGAAAGTCCGCCTTCAAGCTGGTTGCGCGAGCGTTCGAGAAACGGAGCAAGCACGATGCACAGAAAGGCGCGAGAGAGCGGTGAAAAGAAGAGAAGAGAAGAGAAGAGAGGAGAAGCAAGGTAGAGACGGAGAGAGTGGTCGATCGGAGGGAATGGAAGAGCGGCGAAATAAAGGCATCCTTTTTAATGGGCAATACTAATCAATGAAATACGAAGCCGCGGGGAGTAGGAGATGTGCGTGCGGAGAGAATCGGAGAGAAACGGAGAGAAGCAGAGAAAGAAGAGAGGAGAGAAAAAAGGTAGGGAGAGGAAGAGATTGGAAAGAAAGAGAGAGAACGAGGCGGTCGAACGTGGTCGTGCAAACAAAGGGGGTATACGGACGCGGTTCTCTTTCTCCCTATCCCTCTATCCAGCTATCTCTCGGTCTCTGTCGATGGAACCCTTGCGCCTCCTCCTTCCTCTCTCTGTACCCCGTTTCCCTCTTTTTCTCCCTTTCCGCGCGTACTCGTACTCGTACTCGTACGTCGTACGCGTTGCACGCGTGTAATAGCAGCGTCTTCGTCGTTCGGTCGTGGAGCGAGGCAGAGGGCAGGATATTTTTCAGGATGGGATATTTAACGCGTTGGCTAGGTCAGTAACCCCGAGGGAGCCGGGGCCCCGCGATTGGCCGGCCTGCTCGCCGTTCTGCCACCAATTCCCGGCCCCTCATTGGCCGAGCCGGGCCCTGGACCTACACCAACACCCTGCGTGCCACGCACGTCCTACGTACCGGACCGGACTACCTATGTCCGTTCCTACGTTCTCCTACGTTCCTACGTCCCTGCTTTTACCACGCACGCACGCACGCACGCACGCACGCACGCACACGCTACGTTCCCGTCTCGCTACGCGTCTCCGAGACGAGCGTCCGGCTTCCAAGTACTCGAGTTTACTACTACTGCTGCCGCTGCTGGTGCTCGCTTCTGCGCGACCGAACCACAGCTTCCTTCGCATTCGTCCTCTACTCCAGCTGACCCACCGTGGGACTCTTCGGATACCACCAGAGTATCTCTATTAACACCTTCGCGACCGCATGTTCATTATTATATTATACATATGTACGCAGCCGAGAAACGATCAAATAAACGCAAATGGTTTTGAACATTGTCGCAACGTTACATCGGCAAGATTTTCCCTCCTGCAAACTCGAAAACTTGTTGAAACGACACAACGGTAGCCGTTTATCTGCGAACCGGTGCGCGGACAAGTGATTTTTACGATGGGACGGACGGTAGGTTTAATGACTTTCGAATATTCCGTGCGTTCCTATCTGGAATTACATCGTGGCGGGATATAGCGTGCCGTTATGGATCCGTGCGTAATTCACGTGCCGCTGCATTACCGAAATTACAACGGATGATAATATTACGATGCATTTCAATCGCGAAATCCCCCGACACTTTTGCAAGCGAAATCCTGCCAATATTAAATTCGCATCGTCCCCGTGGCCGTCTGTGTTTGCGTATTGTCGTGGCCACATTCAATTTCAAGAACACCGTATGCCGTATCCCGTGCGCGTTTTCCACTGACCGGACCCGTCCGTCGCTCAGCCTCCCAGCATTCCGGCCAAATTTTTCCACCTGGCTCGATTGCAAAAAGGAAAGGGAACTTTTTCAAGAACAAATCTACCCGTGAATTTGAAACGAATCAAATGAAATGAAAAGTTTGCAGCGTTTACGCGTACAATTACGCGATATCGATTGAAAGGAACAGATACTACATGCTGTCCGGGAGTGTATACCGTTTGCAGCGATGCTTTCATGAATAATTGAGCGCGTGACGCGATATAGCTTCGACGTTCGGATTGCTTAATATTTATTGGCATCTTCCACCCGGTGATGCCCGTTTCTGAGCTCGATAGCAGGCGTATTCGGTGCGCGTAACCCTTTGCTCTGCGCCGCTTAAAATTCAATTGACACGCGAAGTAGAAAGATCCACGGGTATACCGCGATCGAAAGGCCGTTTAACGAAACCCGTATCGCCGGTTACAGGGTTGAGTCGACCTACGCTATGGTTAAGGGCCGTTAACGTCGGCGTAACGGGCAGGGAGCGAGAGAGATGGTGCGATGCGTGTATGTGGAAGGCAAGGTGAAGCAAAGGAAAGCAAAGCGAAGCAAAGCAAAGGCGTAAGGACAGCAAGAGAGGGAAGGAGATAACCGCGTTTGGATGTAGGCTACCAGAGTCACGACCTTCTTCCTCTTCCTCGCACGATCGCCGTCTCTCCTCCTCCGCCTCCTCCTCCAACTCCTCTCTCTACTTCACCGCATCTCTCTGCTCGTTCCTCTTTCTACTCGGCTTTTCCCTTTCCAGCACAGTTTCCTCGTCGCTTGGCCGGAAGTCGCGGTTCGATCGGTGAACGCAACCGTTTACGGAGTACCACTCAGTCCGTTAAGCACGATCAATTATATCGCTGACCGGTTGGATCGTTTCTGCGAGACTGGATCGCAGCTAATTATCGCGTGCGTCGCTCTTTACGACCACGGTAGCGTCGCGCTGATTTACGATCATAACTGCGGGGGGAAAAGATGTTTTGGAAGTAAACCTTTCGTTCTTTTTCTGAAATTTTTATCGCGAAAGAAATTGTCAGGCGGGTAACAGACGAGCTCTTAATTTCCATGGTTTGCACCTTTGTACCATACCTATCTCGCTGGTAACCCGATTTTCCCCCACTTTACGCGGGATCTCACTCTCGCTCGAGAGTTTACACCGCGGCTGCACACGCTGCAAGTCCAAGTGCAACGATCGTTCAACTCGCAACGAATTCGTTCCCGTTCAACGGCGACGTCGCGTTCCTTTTCCCTTTTCACTTTCGATTTCAAACATTCTAGAAAAATCGTCGGTGAAAACGAACTGGTTGAAAGGGCAGAGTTACGCGCGACACTCTGACGTGGAGTCGAAGCAGGAAAACCGAGAGAGAAAACTAGAAATGAAATTTCGTGAATGGAAGTTTACACGTCGATTTATCTCTTACCTCGTAAAACAACAATGATTCCATCCAGGTGGCAAAGGGAGGCGCGAGTTTACTCGCAAAGGGCGTCACAAGTCACAGGCTATCCTTTTTCCCGCTCTCTCGCAACGGTGCTAACCCGCTCTTTTGAAGGCTTCAACGTGCTCGCCGTCTATCTATAGTAGCTGTTCACGCTTTTCGTCCGGCCGTGCCTCTCTGGCCGGCTCTCCTCTGAAGTGGCACTTTGGCCGAAATTCAGTTTATTCGAGCACCGCAGCTTTAAAGCTCGTCAGCCGTAATTACGCGGGAATCCACCTCAAAGGGTCTTTCGCCTACTTCGCGTTCGCGGGAAACGGACCGACCGCAATTACGCGATCGAAATTGACCTATCGATTAGGCTAATTTCGCGAACGACCACGAAAAAGTGGCAAGAAAGTTTTAACGATCCTCTTTCTCGTCGAATCTTCGCATTGGCAATTAACCGGAAGGACGTTGCAATTCATTTCTATCTGTAGTTCCTTCGTTTTACGGGGTTACTAGCTCCTTTATCGTGACCTAAAAATGTTGCTGCGCCAAATATCCAAGTATCCCCAGCGTGTCTGGTGTCGATCGCGACTAGTCTGGGAGGCAGAGAGCTGCCGGTTTGTACCCGGTGTATGGCCACGTACGGCCTGAATTCTTGCTCGTTGACGGGAGCGCGAGTGCGCGCATTCTCCCGTCTCGAGAGGTCCTAGAGCGGAGCCGGCGATAGCTAGGGAAGAAGGTAGGTAGGTAGGTTGCTGGCTTGTTATCGCACCTTCCCTTACCCGGAGGGAGGATTAAGCAGCAGGGGAGACGAAGGCAGCGCTTCCAGACGGATCGAGACGAACCCATTACGATACACTGGCATCTACGTACAACCTGACTCCGCTTCTCCCCTTACCTCGCTCCCGAACCTCGACATCGATAATGAGACAATAGCTCGTTTGACTGTGCGAGTATGCTAATAACGTACCTCTTGGCCAAGTCCAAGGAGCCCGTTTCTAACCGCGTACGTAGCTTCGTGCCTTGGATCTGGATGCGAAGCTTAAATTTGGCGATCCGACCAGACGATGTTCTCTTTTTATTAGCAGATTCCAAGGGATCGAAGAACGACAAATCTGAAAAAGAGAATGATATTAGTATAAATTCTGATACTGGCAGATCGTTTAAGTTGTACGCGATTCAGCGTGGAAAAGCATCGGTATTCGCGAAAGCTGTGTTTAAGGGTAATCGTGTTTCAACGGGCGCGGTAAGTGGAATTGTTAAAAAGCCCGCGACGATCGTCGGGAATCCTGATCACGGGTAATCAGCATATTCGACGTTACTTAACGGGGGGGGATTCGTAAAATCAAACGAGCTGGAACAGAACGAGACCAGATCGAACGGAGCTAAGTTCCGAGAGAATCCAGCGTCGCGACTCGTTTAACGTCCATTTAAACTTTCCATCGAATTCGCTTGTTAGTCGATCCACGAAACGGTGAACGAGGCCTATCGGGCTAATTCGTAAGACGCGATTTGTCCCGAAAGCGAATCGAGATCTTTATTCTCTCCTCTTTACTTCTGTTCCCGTCTCGAGACTGCTTTCGACTTCGTATCCGCCATTTTTTTTTTCAACTCACGGAAGTCATCGAGGAGGGCCTCTTCTAAAATCGTTGTCGACGAAGAACCGTGCGTTTCGCGTTTCCGGTGCACGCCGAGAGAACCGGGCGAAAGAACAGGCGGGAAAGCAGGTGTTCCAACCACCAGCTTCGCGATCTACGGTGCCTTTAAGAATCTTTGGTTCTTTCTTGGATCATTGGCTCTGCCAAAGGTTTTCGAAACTTTCAAGAGATCGCTTTATTCGATCGAGTTTTCTCTTGGGAAAGGAAATGACGTCTTACATATTGTGAAAACGCGTTTGAAATCGCCAACTTGGTACACTTGGCAAAAGGGGATCGAACCCTCCTCTTTCGCGTTGTAGGCAGTTACCTTGTCCATTACGTAAACTGTTCGCTCTCCCACGATTCCTTTTACTATTGCATAAAATTAAAAGGAACCCCCTTCGTTCGATGACAAGCGCGTTTGTTGTGATATTTGAAAACGACGAAGTAATTCGAAGCGATCGTTCCGAGATACGTATAAAGGGAAAAATATATGTATAACAGGGACGAGGGGAGGCCGGTGGCTGAATCTTCGGAAGGCCCCTTTCCGCGTGCTTTCCAGCGATTCCCATGGCTGCTCGATCCGAAAACAATCGAGAGCGGTACGGGGACGAAGGAAATCTCGGCAAGGGTGCGAGCAGAGAGGAAAAAGGGAACGAAAGAGCGGCAGCAAAGGGTCGAGCCGAGGTCTGGTTTTACGACTCGAAACTCGAAGCCCGTTTCGATCGCTTCTTCCTCGTCTCTCCGCTGGAACCGTGGCCAACGGCACGTCGACCGAGTACAATAACTCGACGCGATTTTTGCGATCGAATGCCACGCGTGCATGCCAGCCTAAACAAACGGCATCGAGCGACATCGATTTCTCGCTGGACGATGAACTCGTTTTCGATCCTTCACTTCCGTCAACGATTTCGCGAGTCAACGATCGTCGCTGCATGGACGGGAAGCTGACTGTTGGAAAATCAGGAAAGAATAACGTTCGGAGGGTGAAATAACTCTTGACCTACATCCCCTTAGATATCTAAGGGTGACATCGGTATGACGCGTCGCAAGAGTCATCCATATCCCCTTCCTCTTCCAGTCTACTGTGTATACCTATAGTCCATAATTACCGTCTAAATCATCAGTCTTTCGCGACGAGTGTCTCTATCGGAACGATTAAGAACGTGATTCCTATGTAATAGGTAAACTTTGTTAGACAGGAAAAGTGGTCTTCTAATATTACAGGCTGAAACGCAACGATCGGGAAAATAAAGATTGCGAGGATAAAGGGTCAATTTATCGGTGATCGGATAACAACGCCGCTCTAAATGGAGGATCCTTTTTTCACGTAACGATGAAAAAGAACCAATAACGTTCTTAGACGATAGACCGCGTACGGAGCGACGCGTTCGCGCGCGGCTCTCCGAGCTATTATTGGCTGTTTTATTTATTAGACCGGAAGGAGATGGGTGTAATTTCATGTAAACTAATAAAAATACTTGGCGCGAGCGAGAAAAAAAGTTACGACAAGACCGATATTCACGCAAAGGCCTCGTGCGACTGAGAGACCGGTTGCGGTCTAATCCTGAAGCCTTCTCTCTGTGCCTTTTATAAACGGAAGCAAATTACCGTTCGTTCGGCAAAAAGAGAGCGTTCGCTTGCGAGACGACTCGAGACAAAAACCTATCGATCAGCGCATAAGCTACCTGCATAAATTTATCGTATCGCATGCGAAAATTCTTTCGCGAACCTCGGCTCTGCAATTAAATGTACTCTTTCGTATCTTACATACGTAAACTTACGCACGGCTGAAACGAGTTCTTATCGTTCCAAGATTACGCAAACGAACTCGTATCGATAATCGTGCACGCCGACTTTGGTATTTACGCCACGCCGGAGGATCGATGCTGGTTTTCAGAAGCAGACGCGATCGAAGAAGAGATTCACGAGTGGCGAACGCCGGTCGCGTTGTCGCTCGGCAGCGCGACGAGACGCGCACGTAGCCGAGCCAGACGGCATACGGAATCGATCCTGAGAATCGAACTTCCGCCGCGACGGTGAGCTCTTCCGGCACGATGCCTGTTCGAGGGTAGTCGGCCGCGTCGACGAGACACACTGACTTCGTAATTCCTATTCGCCGTTTCTCCGTTCCCGACGTTTTCCACGCTCACATGGCTACGCGACCAGTTTCCGCGGTGCTTCTTCTCTTCTTCAATGAAAACTCCTCCCGCGATCGTTTCAAATCGATCTCTTTCGTCGATCACCCAGATCTATCCCGAGATTAGCCTTTCTTCCTCCCGCCGGTTTTCCAACTTGCAAAGAATCGTCTTTGCTGGAGCGGGGCAAAAACTCTGATTAGAAAAATGAGAGAAAGAAGAGACGGATTTTTTCTCCCCTTTCGCTGAGTGGAACGACAATTGTTAAAAAATCACTCGGTCAGTGGTCGTGCGAGAAGGAAAAGGGGCTAAAAAGAGCGAAGCGAATCACGGAATAACGAAACGATGAAGAAGAATAAGAAGAGATCAATGTCGAAGAAGAAGAAGAGGAGGAAGCGGAGAGGGCAGATCTTCCCGCGGGTTAGGTCCGTGGCTTCCTTCATCCTTCGTGCCCGAGCTTCGGCTGTTTTCATGGCCGTCATTTAGTAGGTTCGTTCACCCCTGGGCGCAGGGCCGCGCGAGAGGAGCGGCGAGGCCGGAGGAGAGAGAAATCGGCGACGGGCAAAAGAGGAAGAGGAAGAGGAGGAGGTTGGAGGTGGAGGTGACGGTGGAGGCGGCAGCAGAGGAGAAACGGAGAAACGTGGCAGAGAGGAAGACGGAGAAAGAGCGGGAAGAGAAGGAAAAGGAGGAAGCGGGTAGTGGAGTACGGGGAAAAGAGGGTCAGACGGCACGTAGTACTGCTCGACGTGCAAGCCTAGGAGGCGCGAGAGGGTGCAACGGAGAGACAGAGACAGAGAAGGAGGGGTGAAGGGAAAGAAATAGCGAAAGAGAGAAGGATAGAACGTGATGGAGTGAGCGAGATGGAACGTAGACGAGGAAAGCGAGAAGGGTCGAGAAGGTGGATGAGGAGAGAAAGAGAGGCGATGTGGTGTTGGTGGTGGCGGTGGTGGAAGCAGGCACGCAGGCAGGCAAGCAGGCAAGTAAGCAAGCAAGCAGGCAGGCAGGCAGGCAGGCAGCCAGGGGCAAGCATGCAGGCGAATAGGCAGCTCGGTTGCGTGGCGAGAGCTGCGAGCGGAAAGGGAGGAAGGTAAAGAAGGGAGCAAGGGAAAAAGAGTTCAGGCAGGTCTGGGATCGGACGAGGGTGAATGCGTGACGGTGTGTGTCGTAGGTACTCTTCAGCCCGGGGAACGCTGCCTCTCCTGCTTACTTGCCTGCTTGCCTGCCTACCTACCTACCAACCTACCTTCCTTACCTCCTCTCTCCTCTCACCTCGCCACCATTCTTACCTCCTTGTAAACCTGCCAGCCGGCCGAATAGCCGAACCACCGGACAGCCGGCCACCGTGTCTACCTCTACGCCTCTCCCTCGTCTTCTTCTCCACCTTCGCCTCCTTTCCTATTCTTTTATGCCCCTACCCTACCCGCTCTATCGCTGTTCCTAATGGACGATCGTACGCCGAGTACAAACGTAAAAGGAAAGTCAAAGAGAAAGAGAGAAGTCTAAATTTAGGTGTCCGCCGGAAGTGCGCGTATCGGAGGAGGTTCCGTGCATCGGATCCGATCGCGGGGAAAGATAAGGTTTACGCAGGGAGATTCAGCCCGGTGGGGAAAGGCTCCGCGCTTCTCTTTCTCCAGCATTCCCGCGTTTTCTCGCTCTTCGTCTCGCACCTCGCCGCACGGCCGACTAGTCCGCTGTGAATGGTAGTGCATGTTCTTTCAACTCGGCTCAGTCGTGACATTGAATTCCCTCATGTGGGTAGACGTTACGTAATTCTGGCAACTTTGCGCGCCACTTTCCTCTCGTGATCGCCGGTATAGACGAAAAGACACGATTCGAAATTCGATATTTGAAATTCGAATTCAGCGCGCAACCCCCGCGCGGGCTGTTCGAGGGATTCGAGAAAGAAAGAGGAAGACGGAAGCGTTTCACCGAGTTTCGGTGATACCGGAACAGAGGTCGGGCCGGGGAGGCGGAGTTTAGCTACTTGTTGAAAGTTGGAGAAAAGCACGAGCCAAGCCTCGCCGCGGCAAAGTCGAAAGCGAAAGTGGTCTCGTGTTAGAACACGAATCACCATGAAATCGATCACGTTTTTCGGAAATTCTTTTACCATCGACCTAGGGGATCGAATATGACATCATCTTTCGACCAAAGCGGCTCTTCGTTTTGATATCGAGATAATTTATCGTTGAAGGGTACACGCGAAACTGGAAACCGTGTCGAGCAAACGGGGCGAGCGTCTTGGAGTGTGCATCGGACATAAAACTGGATAGCGGAGCGTTTCACGTGGCAGCTGCCACTCAAACGCGCCACCTCGTTCCAGTTATGGAAAAATACGCGGAA